CAATTTAGACGATAAGACGCCATAGTCGGCGTTGATTGTGAAGCTCCCCTCAAACAATAACGTCATAAAAATATATTATGAATGGCAAAATACATCGCTATTCGCCCAAATAGACTGGAAAGTATTTCAAGAAATTCTGGCAGTAACAAAACGCCATGGCACAAGAGTATGGTTTTTTGAATTCATACAAATTCAATATTCTACTGTTCTTAATTGTCAAAATGGTAAATACTTGGGACGAAAATTTATTTGATAATATCAACTTCATAAAATTTTAAACCTGACAAACTTCTACAATTTAAAAACGACTTAAAAACGATCTAATAGTTCAAAATCGAATGCGCCGAGACTTCGAGCGACTTTACCCGGTAAATCCAGCCCTGATTACGGTACAGTGACGCATAAAGATAACAAAAATAAACGAGGTATTCGAAGAAAAAACTATCAGATAAAACATCATTATTTTTCATATTCAAATGTCGGTTTAACCTTCATCGAGAGACGAGGTTCGTCATATTATTACACCGTCATACCGGCTTCCCCTACGCCGGAATAAATAAATATCCCCCGAGAAAACAGATTTGAAATTTGTCAAAAGAACTGTTTCAATTCACAGTTACGCCGTGTCGCCTATATTAGCTAAAGCGCTGATTTACAAATAGATTTGTTGAATTCTATTTTCATCGCGTTTTTGCACAATTTTTTTGGCGTGGTTCGGAAAAAATATTAGAATTAATAAAATAATGCCACCCATACACTGTTACACTGAGGACGGATGTTGTTGGATTTCTGGATTCTATACTTATGAAAGTATAAAGCGTTCATGCCGTTTAAATATCAATGGCCTGAATTTTGAAGTCTTTATATAATTTTCTGTAAAAAACACTAGTTTTCATATTTGAAAATCGATGTTTTTTTTTAAATATTAAGTTTACTTTTAGCTTAAGTGATATTAGCAAATAATAAGAGCCGTGTAAAAAAAAAACAGCGCTAACTCTATGTAATTATGCCCCAAATTTTTTTATTTTAGCACAATTATTAAATGTGCAACTTTATTTAGAGTAGCTCAGTTATCCTGCCTGGTTTACTGAAGCAAACGTTTTACGTAAAATAGGAATTACCTCACAAGCTGAGTATCAAATATTCGAAGAATTCTATAGTGCGCCCCCAAAAAACAAAACTCAGGCAAACAAGCAAACCTAACAAATCAGGCACTTTTATACTGACCTTTAATCAATAAACAAGCCTCGATCAACAGTATTAGTCCAATGAAACTGTGTATGATCCGAATCTTCATTTCGAATTCAAAAAAGAATTTCGTAAACTTTGCTTTAATTAATGAGAGTAAATTCCCGAACAACGAAGGTTTGAATGATGCTTCATCTATTCGCATCGGAATATATCGTGTGTACGCTCTCTCACTACCTTTGAGCAAAAAGAGAAATTGTTTTCTCTCTTTTAAATTTTTGGACAGCTCCAGCCCGCATTTAATGACGCTGCGCCATATAATGTGTGTCAGGCAGTGCTTTATGCTTTATTGCCTACAGTCAAAACCAGTACCAATACCGAATGCCTCTTATAATCTCGGTTCACCTTATCTATTTTCAAAACCCAAATCGAAGCAATTTATTGACGGTGCACCTTATGGTTCGTAAAATACGGTAATTTTGGGATGCCACATATCAATGTAGAGTAGCATCAATGTAGATGTCGCATGGCCTTATTCGGCGTTACGTGCGTTGATTTCGTAGATGGGCTATCAATATCAGTCGCATGTGTTCATTCAAATGATCACAACATTCTATGGTCGTATGTTAGTGGGCGTTGAACTTATATTTGTGCCACAGTTGTACTAAGACAAAAATAAATTAGATTGGCTTCCAAATGAATGTATAGAGCTTTGGTCCAAATCTGGCACTAGATAACATTTATCAATTATGACGGTGTAGGTAGAGTATAGTATATGGTGCTGTGAACCTGACATAATTATCAAAACATCCTGTGCAATTTCAGCTATCGTGGAACTAAATTTCCGTTGTATTGTTCATGTCTGACACCATGATTTCAAAGTATCGAATTTCCAAAACACATCTATGCTTATAGGAGATAAATACCGTCTAAAAAAGTTGCGTAAGCTCACGTCAAACATTTACTTCCGGTTGAATCACGGCAACGTAAATTTACCACTTAATATATCAGTAAGATATTCTGATATTAGTTTTAATCAAAGCCTTTGTTATATTTCCAAAAACTATTCACACGTAGAAATGCATCGAAAATACCGCCTTGGTGAACATAAAACACGTTGGGTTTTGCTCCTTTGAAAATCTGCAAGGTTCACGCTATATCACATCTGCAAGGTTCAATGACAGTAAAATGACTCAAAACCTCCTACCAGATTTTGAAAACACTAATTTTACCGTCTATTGACTAGGTTTTTATATAGGGCACTTATTCATTCTGTTCGTTCTGAACTAGGCTTTGTATGAGAAGCCTTTGATATCTAACGACATGTAAAATGCTACTTTTATTCGGAAATACCGAAATTTTTGTATATAATTTGATGATTAATATGAATCCGAGATGTGAAACAAGGCTTCAACTATTCGGTCTACGCACTATACTGGAATATTAGCTTTGCTACCTAGTTAATCTGTAGATATGAAAACTCAACGCGATCAATTCAGACATCTGCACAATGCTACGTACAAATACTTTATTCAGACCCTATTGTGTCGCCCATAAGGGGGGGGGGGGGGGGGGGGGGGGGATATTTTATTAGAGAATAAAGATTTTAATGAACGAATTGGTGCGGAGATATAATTTGATAACAACAGACAAAAGCAAGTTAGATTCCTGATGATACTTGCATTGATATTTTTCTTGCAATGGTTAGGATACTGAAAACCTATGATACAAAGATGATAGTTTGAATTTTTTAATCAAAGTTTTCACACGATGGCCTATAATGACAAACGCGAGAGTTGGAAATATCAGTGACTATTGTTGTGTTATACAACGTGTCCTTTTCCTGCACACCATCCCCATACCGAATACTTGAAAATAAATAATAAAACAATTGTGTGAGAATGAACGGGAAAGATTCATGATCACTTGTATTTTTTAGCTTCCGTGTATCTTTTCATTGCGTGATTCATTATTGAGCAATTAACATAAATAATATTTAAACTTTATTCAAACTTTTAGAATCTATGCTCTTACCGCATGATAGCTGTCATCAAAAAAAGTAAGTTTACCGCACAACTCACTGTTAAAATTGTTCTTGCCACAGCAATTTTCGGATGATTGATACCAGCACACTGTTTCGGGTTGCGCAAGGGTCTATCAGCTAAAGCTTTCGACCTAATATATATTATACTAAGTTTGTTTGGGTCTTTTGCCCCGAACAAGGCCCTGTACACGCGGTGACAGATGTCTAATGATATTTAAGGAGATTCTGTTATTTTATGAATCTTAGGTTCCGGCATTGCCGACCCAGTTTATTACACCCTGGGTGAGATGGGCAGCAGAGTGTCCTATTTTTCTGCTTACCGGGACGGGTGATACCCCTTCTACCTAACTTCAAATTTAATTCGGTATTCATTTTTCAATAAATTAGCACTATTGGGTGAATTTGGGGTAAACCTAGTAATCTAAACAAAGTACTAAAGTGTTAAGAACCGCTGCTATAAAGTGATATATTGGGGCCCGGGTTAAATTTTCTCTTGCAATTTCCACACAAAGTGGATTTCCCACAAAAATATTGTTCGCGTTTGTTCAATACGTCATCTAATTGAATTTGAAATCGGGCTACCAAATGACGTTGCAATATATCTGGCATTATGTAACGCAATCACCGAAACGTTTCATCAGGTCCACTCGTACCTGTTCAAATTACAACTATAGTTTTTATGGATATAAATTTTCGTTGAAAATGTTCGCGTTTGTTCGATACGTCATCCAATTGAATTTGAAATCGGGGTACCAAATGACGTTGCAATATATCTGGCATTGTGTAAAGCGATCACCGAAACGTTTCATCAGGTCCACTCTTACCTGTTCAAATTACAACTATAGTTTTTATGAATATAAATTTTCGTTGAAAATGTTCGCGTTTGTTCGATACGTCATCCAATTGAATTTGAAATCGGGGTACCAAATGACGTTGCAATATATCTGGCATTGTGTAAAGCGATCACCGAAACGTTTCATCAGGTCCACTCGTGCCTGTTAAAATTACAACTATAGTTTTTATGGATATAAATTTCCGTTGAAAATATCAATGAAAAATATTTTTTAATAATCCTGATTGTTACATTGTACCCATTATATAAACGTTAGTCAAGCTGTTGTGAATTAATAATATTTTTTTCATTTTGAGTTTTGAGCCTCCGGCGCAGTAACCAAGTCTATTATCTGTGGGTGCCCCACACGAAAAAAACGCCTGTCCACCCCTGGACGTTAGTCAATCAAATTTAAAATTTGAGTACCGAATGACGAAACATAATTTGTGACATAACGAAAATTTGAAAATATAGGAAAAAGTTTGGTGAGAATGGACGGGAATTTATATAACCACTTAATTTTTTAGCTGCCGTGTGTGTGATCATTGCGTGATTCATTATTGAGTAATTACCATTAACACTATTTGAACCCCATTTAAACTTTAAAATCTATGCTATCAACGCATGATAGCTGTTAACAAAAAATGAAATTTACCGCACAACTCACAGTTGGAGTTGCATTTGTCACAGCTATTTCCGGTTGATTGACATCAGCACACTGTTCTGGAGGGCGAGATGGCCTATCGATTTAATATGTATTATACTAAGCTTGTTTGAGTCAATGGTGTCGGCGACAGGAAAGAAGATATCTTTTGTTGTATGAGTAATGCGGGTGAAAAGGCGGAAAACAGATAAAAAAAAATAGCAACCAAAACTTGATAATATGGCTTAACAAGAACGATGCCAACTTTTGATTCAGTGTTCCAGGTAATTTCTTTAAGTTTTCAGTGTGGTCTTGAAGGTACGCACATTTCTTTCAGCCTCACCATTAGGGTACGGATGATACGTACTTGAAAAGATTTGCTTAATTCCATTTCGTATCATAAAATCTCGAATCTCTCTCGATGACAGGTTAGAAGCATTGTCGCTTACCAATATTTCAGGTAGTCCATATTTCGTAAAAAAATATCTCAATGCATCAACAGTCTTTTCAGAAGTAGTTGAAGGCATTCTGAACACTTCAGGCCATTTAGAATGAGCATCGACCATCATCAGAAAGTTTTCATTCATTATTGGACAAGCATAGTCCATATGAATGCTTTGCCACGGCTTAGTAGGCCATATCCATGGATTTCCAGGCGTTTTATTCGCAGGACTTCTTACTTCCTGACAATTTGAACAATCTCTCACTTTCTGTTCAATTCTTTCATCACTATTCGGAAACCAAACATGCAATCTGGCTAATGATTTCATTCGAACCATACCAGGATGATTTTCATGCAGTTCATCTAGTACTTCTGCAATATACTTTTGGGGAATAATAACTCTTATTCCCCACAGCAACATTCCTTCTTCCACAGTAATTTCATCTTTTCTCCTGTGGAATGGCAACAATTCATTTGTAATTTCTTCCTTTGCAGGCCAACCATTTATAGAATACAGCAACACTCGTGAGAGCTTTGGATCCTTTTCAGTTGCATGGCGGAGCTTTGCAGGAGTTATGGGAAGCGTATGAACTTGGTTTATGTTCAGAATCGTTGCCTCTTCTTCCCAACAATCACGTATTTCAGACTGATCTGTTTACATGGGCAATCGGGATAATGCATCTGCATTCCCATTATTTTTCGTGTTTCGATAACATATTTCATATTTATATGCAGACAGTTTTATAGCCCACCTATGCAATCTGGTTGCAGCTAAAATAGGTATACCACGTTTTGGACTCAATAGCATAGTTAAAGGTTGGTTGTCGGTCAACAATTTAAATTTTCGACCATATAAATACACATGAAATTTTCTTACACCATATACAATTGCTAGTACCTCCTTCTCAATTTGGGAATAATTTTTTTCAGCACTTGTTAAAGTACGAGAAGCGAATACATATTATCTAAAAATGCGTAGAATTACGCGATTCTGGAATAAAACACGCTTAACTTTCATTTCTTGAAGTCGGTAATAACTTGACCAAGTGATTTCAATTCCGAAGTCAGGATTTCAAGTCGGAATGGCAGCGATTTTACACCCCAGAACTAAATAATAGTTCAGCTGGCGCCTTACGCCGCAATAAAATATTGCTCGCTGTATTCTTCAGCTTTTTCCCTAACAGATAGCAGAACTCTGGCAATTTATTTATTTATTTCGTCCGTGAGTGAGTCTTTGTGAATTGAATGAATTTCGTATTGGTGACGCAATGCGTAATTTTAGTTGTTAAAGTTACGGATTTAAAATATCGAATATAATTAACTTCGAGTTTATTGGGATACATGATTCTTTTTTGACCTCCGAATTAGTTGCCCGATGGGAAGAAGCCAGGCAAGAATGATGCTCGGAAAAAGCACTTTCCAGTTGTTGGGGAAATCCTCGTGCCTCAATTCCAAGCCGTGTCAATCAATGTGCCGACTATCATCGGTGGTAAGTTACCTCCAAGGTATTTCATTCAGGTAACTCGAGTCAATTCAGGCCATTGATAAATCGTCATTTGAGCCTTCCCAACGGTTCTACTTTCATGTTGCAGTATTTGACACAAGCTTTACTATTAAAACAAATTACAAAGTGAAGATTATTCACCATTTTAGATTGGGTGTAGAAAAATCACTGGCTCTAGTGATACATGCAATATTGCCAATGCTTGGGTCAACATGCGCTTGCGGATCTGTGTTTATATCCTAAATTACGTAAAATCAAAGCATTGGTCCGTTTTGAATGACGCCCGGTTGACCACCTTGTAAAATAAGAATTGCATACGCCAATTTTCGAAAGCAAAATTTAATTTATTTCATCTTCGCACCAAACTTCGCTGGGACCAAACTTTATTTTTAATTTTCTTTGTTTTTATGGGTTTTCAAGATAATAAAATAAATTAAATAAACTGCTTTTTTTTATATGGATTTTTGACCCCGGCCCAGTAGCCAACCTATTATCTGAAATAAACCACTCGAAAAAGTAATTGCCTTTCTCTGGATTTTGGCCAAAATTTTTAAAAATGGAGTACCCAATGACGTAGCAATATTTGTGACATACCAAAATGTTTAAAAATATGGGAAAAAAGTTTGTGTGAGAATGACGTAAAATTTGCATACTCATTTTATTTCCAGCTCCCATGTGCGTGATCCTTGCGTGATTCATTAATGAGTAATTGCCACATTAACACTAGTTAAACTTTATTCCAAATTTAAGAATTCATGCTCGTAACGTATGATAGCTGTCACCAAAAAAAATATTTTACCACACAACTCACTGTTGGAATTATCTTTGTCACAGCTTGTTCCGGATGATTGACATTAGCACACTGTTTTGGGCGGCGCAGTTGGCCAGCTGTTGTATATGTATTATACTGAGCATGTTCGGGTCTTGCCTCCTAACAAGGCCCTTTACATGCGGCCACTCATATGAGGTATTATTATTTTATGAATCTTTCCGGTTCGGCATTGCCGACCTAATTTATTACACCCTAGGTCAGGGGTGGGCAACCTGTTTCGGCTCGCGTGCCAAAATCGTCTAAATTTAACGACAAAATTGTTCGCGTGCCGACCAAAATTAAAAACAATGCTTTGCCATTTTTAAAGCAGAGTAATAAACCTTGCAGATTCACTAATCGGGACAATATCAGTCCGGCAAATAGATTTGATTATTTTTCCTATTCTATACCGAGATGTGCACCTGTTATGCCAACATAGTTGAGTCAAACGTTTTGAATACTAGTACATCACACACATTTTCCTGCGTGCTTCGGTTGAACGTAGTAACGCGCACATGCATCAACTTACACTTGATTATTGAGCTATAGGTTTTCGACGAGCTTTTGTGTATGATTCCATTCTATAGAATTTGTATGCAGTTCTAAAGAATACTAGTTTCAGCTTTTTCATTCATTCAAACCGCGTGTTGAAAGTAAGTTTTGTAATATTGCGTGTTGGTTTCCAACATCCTTAAATCGGTGATGCCAGTAAATCTTTAATACAAAAAGATCTGTAACATTAGCAATAAAAACAGCAGTACCCACTCAAATGACAGCTGGGGGATGGATACTCTTAGTATCTGCTCCATCGCGTGTCTCTTACAGTCTTACCAGTTTACATGAGTGACAATTGGTATCTAAGCTCAGCCAGAGACAAAAAGTTTCGGACTGCAGTTGGCGTGACAAAATGTTTTTAAATATGTATTCTACAATAAGAATATTTGATTGCATACTACTGAAAGTTCCGCCCTATATGTCTTTTCCCATTGTACTAGTCCTTTACTGATATTCGATAATATGACGCTCATCTGACTTAGTTCTCAAAGGGTGTAGATGGGTATAATCTTTTCCACGCTGTTCAGAAGAGAATGCGAATTCAGAATTGCAATGCGATGAAATTCCATCTTGGCATTTCTGCCTCTCGCAATTGATGCGTATACTTATCGGGGAAGTTCTCTTATCCCCAACTACCACAATTAATTCTGTTATCAAACTTCCGAAACAAAAACATAAAATCATCAACAGATGCATATCACCAAGTACCAAGATTTTGCTGAATTGATCTTTATGTTACCATTTTTCATGTAATTCTTTTTAGTAAACCTGTTATCTATCGTAAATACAGCATATTTGAAATGTTGTAGTGTGACTTTTTGGCCTCACATTTTTGATATTTGTAGTTAGAGCTCTTGGGGCTCTGTCAAACAAAGTTACATACAAAATATTGGTTGTAAATTGCGAAACATGATCATGTTGTTGGAATAACTTGGCATTTTACCGTATATCATTCAATGTTAATAAAATCATAAGGTTTAAAAATCAGTTTTCGTGAAATCTTTGTTGTAGCTGAATTCCAGAAACAGCATGACAACAGGCAAAAGAAGCACGATCGCCTCTTTTAGTTTATGACAGGGTTTCTTAAAAGCGGACCCCGTCCCCCTTGGAAGCTGCTGATCGGTTATCTGGGAGCACGAACAGACTGAAATGCAAATATATAATAACAATGTATTTTTACAGAAGAGAAGAAGCAAAAGTGTTGAGACTCTTCGGTAGTTTGAAAAGCATTGGCATGGAACATAAGAATGAACTATATTGTTTCCCAGGGATATACTATAAAATGTAGAAATTTTCTCATTCTTGTTCTCGTGATATCATTATCTTTCACTGCGTCGTTGTGATCATCCCGCTGCATAACAATTCTAGCTAACAAACAATTGACTGTTCTCCACCGGGTGTATAACCACTTGAACCACTGGCGACTACATTAGCAGGCTTGTATTGTTAATTGCAACAAAAACGGGTATTTTGAAATAGTAATCTTTATTTTACGCGTATGTTTCGACAGTATTTCCATATACTGTATATGGGTCGCGACCCATAGCTGGGCTCAACAAATACCTAAAAATTATTGATTTTATTTCCTAGTAAATTTGGTGCTTGCGTAGTTTGTGCAACAAGATTGGGCACAACCTGAACATAGTATTGTAACAGGTTATGGTTCAAGTTGTGCGTCATTATGATGCACAGGTTTGACGAAAAACACTAATACAAATATCGAGCCGTGAAAAAAATTGCTCAAGGCTGCAAACTCACACCCATGTAGAAATGATGGGCAATGACCCCAAGATGAATAATCACAAATAAAAATTACTTTATGTCTGAAATCAAACTTGGGCCAAAAAGGTCCCCTTATCTGCCGGACTATATTAGACGAAGACACGAACAGCACATTATTTAGTCCCATTACTTCTAACTGTTTTGGTGTTTGATTCCTGTTTATAGATTATCAGCTCTAGCATTTGGGGTTGTTGTCCATTCAAGATTTATTCAACACTTGTCAGGACTGAAAGTTGCAACGCACACAAAGAAAACGTTAACTGTTTGTGTAAAATTTTATCCATTGGCCTCACTTCCGAGACCTTGCTTCGAGAAAACTTGGAAATTATCTATGACTCTTCCCACTCTCAGTTTAGGGCTTGGAAGCTTTCTTTGAGCGAAAATGCAAATCTTCTTTAAACAATCACTATGTTGAGTACCATTGGTGGTTAGTTGCGTGCGAGTTATTTCATCAACTCGAGTCAATTCATGTCATTGATAAATCGTTATTCAAGCTTTAACAACGCTGCTACTTTCACAATTGCAATATTTAACATAAGCTTTACTGTTAAAATAAATTTCAGAGGTAGACTTATTCACCACTTATAGAGGGGGTGTAGGGAAATCACTGTCTATAGTGATGCATGCACAATTGCTGTTAGCTTTAGCTAGGAATACCATATTTTTTTGACTTCGACGCGGGACGCCTCTTGTATCTCTTGTAACAGTTTCCGATTTTACTACACAGGCCTACATCTAACCCATCCCGACTGTCTTCATTGACCATATTGTCATCGAGAGTTCATGCGCATATTTTCTGCTTGTCTGAATATCGAGTTCAGTCCGAAAAATAGAAAGGAATAGACGATAACGATACAAATGATCAGAATTTATATTTTTTATGTACAGCAAAAGGAATAAAGAATAATGAAATAGTCTGCCGTTTTCAAGCATTGAGAATTTACCTATTCGTCCAAGCACGCTTTTCTGTAGTAAACCCCATAAAAAAACGTTGTTCAGTGCTACATTCACGCGAACGTCCGAACAGGACCAATTAGAATAGATTTTACATGTGATACGTTCGCTAACAATGTTAGCGGGAAACAACGAAACAACAAAATAACGCATTCACCTTCAGTAAGTACTCCTTTCACTACTCTAGCGTTGCGCTACACAGCAACAACAGTAACAATAACATGTTCGTGTATTATGCTGGATGGCTGAACGCAAAAGTGGGACTTTTGGCTAACTTGTCGGGACGACGAGGCAAGACGCTAAAAAGCGGGATTGTCCCGCCTAAAGCGGGGCATATGGTAAGCCTAGCTTTAGCGGAATTTTCGGTGCCTTTCGGTGGAGCCAGTGAAACATTCCGAAATCTCGAGGAACCCCTCGTCAAATAGTTCAATTGTATTTTATTGTCACAAGTTTATATACTATGAAATAAATATAAAGGCGAGTCCAATAATGGAAAAACAAAATCACCTCTAAGATGTGACAGGTTTAACAATGGGTGCAAACCTAAGAGGTATTCGATTGTAATAAAACAGTATTAATATAGACTCTCTAATTTGATTGGGAACTCGCGGAACACCTGGGCCATGGTTCCAATCTTTTTTCAAGCTAACAAAATTTTGTAATGAAATAACTTTTGTAAAAAAAACTCCCTATCTAAGAATATGCTCAAATACTAAACGGTATGCTGTGCCTCTGTGGCCGCAATGTCAAAACTCAATAAAAAACAATTATTTTCAAATAATATTTATTTTTTCAGAAATCCCTTCAAAATAAGAAAGTTTTTTGCTATTAGTAGATTTTTGAGATTGGGGCCTGGCTTAACTTAATCTAAGAGGATGCCGCCAAGTTATCATGCTTTGATACTTTCCACATGTACAATTAGTATTGCGCTACATTCCAATACCAAACATGAATAAGTTGATTTTAACGAGTAGTATAAATATTTGCGATCATTTCAAGGCGATTTTCAAAAATAATTCTTACTCTCAGTTAATTTTCTTCATCTGTCATCTTACGATTGTTTATGTGACTTAATTGTATCGTAATACCCACATTTCGATCATGCTTTCTTGTCAATGTCGCGTCCAGATTTTGAGATTTTGCAAAAGGTTCGACTTTTTGGTCGTAGTACAGATCGAACGGTCTTGTCGACCAGTATCGACTTCGTGCAAGTCTTTCCTTAACTCGGTGGTACAAGTTGGCAATCTGTAAAGCAAATAATAAAATTTGATACATATAGGTAATAAGAAACTTTTAACTTTTCAAGCAAGGATTTTGGTACTGAAGTGGATTTATTCTGCTTATATTATCAGACTATGCTATTGCATAGTTCAAGTTGTATCGATGCAAAAATGATTTAGTAATTACTCAATAACGTCGGACGAGATCTTTTATTAAAGGTCTGTTCCATTTTTCCAATACTGGGGGATGCGACGCTAAAATCATCCCTTCGACGAACTGCTACTATTTTACACTAGACATTTTCCTCTTATCAAACGCTTCCCATTGGTTTATTTTTTTTCAAACGTTTTTTTCAAAATTCTTCGCCGACCTGACGAACTTGCCGAACTTGTCTTTCCTTTGGTGGACCGATAAGGGCACAGTCGCTCGCAAGGCTGTCCTTGATGGGAGTGGAACTTGTCTTCCATATAAAAACCAAAAAGTAATAAAAAATTTGTAGCATATTCTCCTTTTTTTTGGATCAGGAAGACAAGTCTGGAATCCAGCCCAATTGCCTTCATACCCAGACTATGCCGTCGGAAGTTTATGGATCAATTCTCTTTGCCATAGATATCACCATTTTATGTACCACATTGAGAGGTAGACTTCCTTTCATCACATCCGCTATGTTTGATATGGTATTATTGAATTTTGTTGAGTTTAATGCCATCGACTGGGCGTTTTAATAGAAATGATATTTAGGGGCCGAATTGAAAGTCCAGGGAAATTTGATTTTGTGAATCAGAAATTGCTCACTTTTATTTTTCCCTACTAACTTTACTTCCAAGGAAATTGAGAAAGATGAATCAGATGATGTGGTTTCGTCACGGTATCTCTTCGTCTTATTCACATCGATTGTCAGGCCATTTTCAATAAGATTATTGTCTATAATCCAAAAGGAAAATCGCCCACTATAATTGGTAGCTTTAATTGTGATACTTTACTCTGACAGGTTGCTGTAATGCCATTCACAGTTTAATTTGCCATACACTGTAGTCTGACGAGTAAACGTTTTTCAGTATTTTGGAGTAAAATAGGCCGGTCTGACCTAGTTCGTGGCCTGACATGAAACTATGCATTTGAGCTCCTGTTTGTTTTAAAGTTTTTCTTCCCAACTTTTGTTTACCTATTCATAATGAGCGCAAACAAGATAAATACTTATATATTTTTGGTTGAATTCAGGTTGTTATGCTTTTGCTTGTTTTATAACATTTGAGCACCAATCATGCCAGAAGATAAAATATCGGAATATAATTGTGTTCTCTTGCGATACAGAGCAACACACGGCATTTTAAAATCTGGTGAATGTTATCCCAATTGTTCTTACTTCTTACTCAAGCAATTTTGCGTTTTCGACATCGACCGTGTCTTTGAGTTTACACTGCAAATTGATCAAATCTGCTATGTCTCACATCTCTGGGTGGAGCAATGGCAATCTGCAGTGCAGAGCTGCGATGGTGAATGCAATCACCTTGTTCATTTGAATGTCTTCTTTATTATTCTTATTAGAACTCTTTCTTATATTTAGACAATCTGCAACTTCAACACGGAAATCAAGCAATGACATGTGCTGCATAAGCTGCTTGTAAAGAAATTAAATAATAAAAGATACGCTAGTACCAAGTCTTTGGTCGAATGCGGTACTGAGACATGAGAATGTCAGAAAAATCGACTTCCCCATGTGCTGATTTTCACAATGTAGGGCCTTTCCACTTATATATATTCCTTTTTTGACTTACTCCGATCGTTCACATTTTTCAACATGCTCTTCCACAGTATATAATGACGCCAGTAAAATTGATTAAATACCATACCATTTTACAACAAACAGTTGTTTCATTCAATATCTCGTAAGATACACGCCCTGCCGTACTTAGTTCTGTGTATATGACTTTAAACTGAGTAAACGGTTTCCCCCAATTACACCAATTACAAGTGTTCCCAATTGCTTCAGTTCTTCTATGAGCTCACGCGGTTGTCAACGTAGCACTTGTACGGTAATTTAAACCGATTTACATTCCTCTTACTGGGCGCACGACAATTTATTCACCTACAGTCTATACCAGGGGTCGGCAACCTACGGCCCGCGGAGCAATATAATCCGGCCCGCGACGCTTCACTGAATTATAGTAACAAATTATAGCTGTTTTGTCGATTATATTCTTTACGCAAAAGAATTCACGTTAGACCAAATTATATTATAACGTAATAAGTATATAATTTACAATTACTCGTTTAATGAAGCTATAATTTAGACAAATGGAAACAAAACGCAGAAAAGTTGATGCTCAGTGCAAAGGGTTTAATGGCGCAAAAAATATTCAAATGGTCAGTCTTCGCGCGCTGTTTAAAATTTAACTTCTGATCTGTGTGATAAAATGTGATTCATCGGTCATCCATTCGATTTTTACCTTTCTATAAAAATATATGCGTCCCGCCAATGACTTGCAACCATTAATTTTTGCCCGCGAGCGCCAAAAGGTTGCCGACCCCTGGTCTACACCAACTTCACGGCTATTTCTCCCGGTTCGTTGCCAGTGTGAATCTCAAAATTTTTCTTATGTAAATGTCTCATATTTGTGAAGACTTTGCCGACTCATTTGAGTGGTTTAGTTTTCACGCTTCATTGTTTCATGCCAATCCTCTTTTGTTTATCCACGGATTGTTTCGGGTTCAATGTTACGGCTGCAGGCCTGACTTTGAATAGTGGATCATATTCTTGCTCGCCTTTCTGCTTGAGCCGGATGTTATCAACCACATGGATTAAATTTCTCAGCTTGTCAACTATGTATGCTAACGCAATTAATTTTCCAAAGATTAAATAAACATCACCTGTTTACGGTTTTAATTTTCTCCGGGTAAATGTTGTTTGTCGCAGTAGCGCTTCCAACACGCAACAGTGTTACATCTGATATAGGTTCGTCATTACCATCCTCCCTCTTTGTTGTTGGTATGAGTTTCATCGGTTAAAACATCTTGGGCACATCCGATTTTTATGTGCTCAATCGAATCAGCATCATTACTGGTCACAAAACTATTTCTTTCGCGAATCTCAGCATCATAAATTTCATTATCATTACTTTGATCTGCTCCATCGTCTGACATCTGTGCCAAAGGCTGTGTTATCTTGCCAAGTTTATGGTTACAATATTTACACTGGCCATGGAACGGTAGAGAATAGTCGTGGAATTGGTGTAGGTGGATAAATTGTCCTGCGCCTGATAAGGGGAATGTCAAATGGTTTAAAATACAAGTTGTAACGCACGGATTGGAGTCTCAAACTGCGCTACGTTTATACCCAACCACTGTCAAGTACCACGTCCCTGTTCTTTTACAATTTGCAATCAAAGTCGTAACAATCAGTCCCCACTCAGTCTTGAACCACTGAACTTTTGAACCCCAACACCTCAGAATATCACATCAACTGAAAGAACTTTGTTGTAATGTTCCACTTGAAAATCGACAGAACAGTACAGCAATAGCACTCACTAATACACACAGAGTTTGAGTTTGATTTCAAATATTGATAGATTCCGGGATTAAATAACTAAATAAAATACAGAACAGTTGGTGAATATCAACACACAATAAATCCCAGACTATCCTATATCCTAACACAGTGGCGGCGCGTGGTCATTTTGACAACCGGGGCAAGCTACTGCGGGACCAAGTCTCACCCCCATCTACGGGGACGGGATGAGCGCTGTAAGTTCTCCCATCATTTTATGAGTATAAAAACCATTCCATCGGTAACAACCAATCGGCAAAAGCGACAATTTTTAACGATAAGAAAGTGTCTTTAAAACCGGTCCAAGGCAAGGGATTAATAAATATAGACATAGTTTATTTTGAAACCTCTTTCAAAAGGAAAAGCAACATTTACTCAGATAAATACAATGACATATTAACAGAAACTTCGGGAAAGCAGATAAAACCTAAAATAAGGTTTAAAACGTTACTATGAAGAAAGGAAAGTTAATGCAAAGATAAGGACATGCGTCGCTCACTCATAGATATATATGCTGCTAGACTTCTACTGCTTGAACATATATGCAACACGCCGCAGTTTCTTTGAAGCAAAATGCTCAATAACGCGCTGATTAAGGTCATGCATCCCAGAAATAACGTCTCTGTGAATGGATAAAACAGCCAAGGAATTTATTCTATTTTGCTTCATTGTGTTTCTGAGATACGTTTTAATACGCTTCAGCGTGCTGAATGTTCGCTCTGCGTCGGCGGAAGAAATGGGCGTCGTCAAAATGATGTCCAGGAATTTTGCAAATTTTGAAAAATTTTTGGGGTTCATCAAAGAGAACGCGGCAAGGTGTAGTGCGCAGACGATCGCCTATTTGGTTCACCAGAATGTCACGGCATTCTTTTGTAGACAAAATCAAACGCTGCGTTGTTTGCCCGCGGCGTAAAGAAGCACTACATGTGTCGTCGTATTTTATTGTTTTCCGGATACGAGATACAGCATCGCAGAAGTCTGAAATACACGACTGCACAGACGCTCCATCCATTAGCCTTGACTGCAATGCGCCGTATAATACATCCACGTGATAGAATATTGTGGAGAAAAAAGCGAGAAAAAATGAAAACTCACCATCTTCCTGCAGATGCGTTAGACCTGCCGCCTCCCGCCTCCCGCACAGAGCGTTCGTCCCAAACCGGAGAGCTCTGAATGCCATTAAAACACTCAATGAGCTCAGACCCAATTTCGGACACGCCCTGCACCACGCGTGATTGGAAGTTCCAACGTGTTGGTGCACAAGCTGGGAGACGGCGGCTACATATCTGGCGAAGGAGGTCAGAGCGCTGCGGCGAAACGGAAAAAAATGAAGAAAACCCCGAAACATTTGCAAAAAATATACGGACGAGAGGGGTATCAAGACACATATTTTTAATAACGAGGTTAAATTGGTGTGCATAACTATGTAAAAATGCGCATGAGGAAAATCTTCTCTTATATAAACTTGAACACCATGTTTCGACCCACTCATGACTGCCGCGCCGTCATAAGTTTGAGCTATCAATTTTGACTTCGCGTTGTAAGGCTGTAACACTTCTTTCAGTACAGCCGATATCCCGCAAGCCGTGCGATCAACGATTGGTACAAAGCTGTGAAATCTCTCGATAGGTTTACCATCTTTCACAAACCGAAAAATCACAGCCAGTTGGGAAACGCACGTGATGTCAGTTGTCTCGTCAGACTGAATCGAAAGGAACTGACAATTCTCAATTTCCAGAGCCAAATGTTGTAAATAAATTTTATACATTGAGTCGAGCAAATCATTTTTGGATATCCTTAGATGTCCCTTTCGAAACAGTTGCGGCATCAAGATGATCTCTCAATACTTATCTAGGGATGCGGTGTATTCCACCATATCCAAAAATACCCCTCTATTAGAAGAGCCAGCCCGTTCATCGTGCCCACGGAAGGACAGCTCGTGACAACCAATGAACTTCAAAACATCTATCAATTGACCGAGAACATGGCGGTTTTTCTCGACGTTTTGGTTGTGCCGACGAATAGAAACCGCGCGTCCTTCATCCAACTGTGCTGCAATATTAACATTTCCGAATGTTCGGTATTTTACTGCATTGTCCAGATGCTCCATAGAAGATTGATGATCCCTGGCACGCTCGGAAAGATGTTTAAGATCTCTAAAACCAAATTTACACCAACGTGAGTCACGGGCGGTAGCAAAAAGTAGGCAATAAAAACAAAAAAGTGCATTTTTGTCCTCGCTGTAACACAACCATTCGTGTTTTTATACCAAGTTTCTGCGCAGAATGTACGCCGACGCTTTCCTCCGTCATGGGATTGTTCCAGTGAACAATTTTTTGGTTGATAAGGCCCTAGACGTTGTACCTCTAATTTTTGTTCCAGCGGCAGCTGCGAAAACGGAGTGCGAAGTAGTGCATCAACCTTATTCATTATGAGGTCTAAGACTAAGAAATGCGAAGCCGGAAAGAAGTGAGGAGCTCAAAAGGAATGTGGAAAATCGAAAGCAAATGGACTAAAGGTCTCTAACTGATTCAAATAGCGAAACAAGCGACAAAAACGAAGGCGAGGAAACTATCAACTCTTCAAGCAACCAACGAACGAGAAGGAATGCGTGAATATGTCAACATGTTGTTGTAAGAAACGTCGGCATTGTGTCGTCATAATTTTGAGGCTAGCCCCGATCGGCCCCGATGATTTAGTAAAAGAAACAGAAAACAAACGAGACAAACGCGGCGAGTGGAAGATAAAAGAGAGAATACGATATACAATGAGCAACCGGGGCAAAATCGGCGTCGCCCCGTCGACGTTCGGCGAAGGCTTTGCGAGCGAAAAATGAACCATGTCGGGAGAATATGGCTAGTGTAGACAGTCTGTGCAACCGATATTGGGGTATTTTTCAAATATTTTTTATTATACCGAAAAAACAACCGGGGCATTGCCCCGGTTGGCCCTATTGACGCGCCGCCACTGCTAACATAATGATTCCCTGGGGCTTCCGAAGTATGCGAACCAAGATGGCGGACATCGGAACGTAACATGGGTAACAGGTTAGGGTTGGGCGATAATTTTTTTCCAATTTTCCTTATTTTAGTCCTATTATCAGTTCGAAGACTAGCGTCGTATTTATACCTAAAATTATGGCCTAACCCCAACCTAGTACACATATTACATTCCGATGTCCGCCATCTTGTTTCGCATACTTCGGGAGCCCCCATATGAGGGTAGTTTGGCGTGTTATTAGTGTTCTGAAATATATCTTCGTTAATTCATTGTATTGGGCAGCCAAAATTTACATTTTAATAAAATATATTCGCCCTCATTTACATATTAGATGCTGGAGGCTGAAAAGTGGTACAGAGTGGTGAAAATAAGAAATTCAGTGAAATACCACTTGAAATCTGAAGAAATCGAATTCAAGTTGAGTATACACCATATTACTAGAATAAGATTACATTTTGTTAATGAGCCAGGAGACTCATTACCTCTATCATTAGTATGGGCAGCAAGGGCTTAAGATTCAATTGAATATTATGAAAGAACATAGAAATAATTCGCGGAGACATCATATTTGTACTGTAATTGAACTGAACAGGCTTCATCATAATTTCCAGCGATTTTTAATTGGAACATCGACCGTTACATGCGTTTTTGGTATTTAGTCGGCTTTGCTTGTGATATGTAAAAATATTAGGCTATCATTCTGTACTTTGTATTTTGAAATGTTTAATTTCGCAATGTAATATGTTTGTCCGTGTTTTCATTCATAGAAACTGGAAAGAGGTACTCGTTCTGTAGAATGATGGGAACCGACAGACTTATGAACTCTATGCATCTGAGGAATACTGAGGAATAATTGGTATAGATAAATATCTCATTATAATTCATCAAAACGCGTAATTTTTATGTTTTAATATAACATTGATTTTTGTAAATATTTTTCATTGAGTTTTGACGAATTTCCGTCGTTTGTCTCATGCGCGATATAGCAAAGATGCTGCTTGAGTAGAAGGACGATCATGTGTTCTATGCAACCATCTCTAAGTTCATTGCCATTCAGAATTACTACTGTATTGAAACTAAGCTTTGAATGTGTTTACATCTTATTGGCTGAAATCAGTTTTTAAACAACTCACCGCGTCGGGGTCTTAGCCTTTGAGATAGATTTTTTCTATGCGAAAAAAAAATTATGAAAATATAGGTACAGCCGCTGAGCCGGATAAGGGAACTTTGATGAAGAATGAATAGAAGAGTTCAATTTGCGAATTACATAATTTTGTGAATGTGTGGAACCTACAATACATATACTTAATCATTGAAACAGTATATGATAGTAGTAATTCTGTAATCTTCTAGGAAGAATTACGTCGTCATACTAAGCATACCTCTTTCTGACGCCCGGTAGAAATTGTTTCGAGGATGGATTGGGCGTTGAATATATGACCGATTGCCGAATCCGCGATTCTAGAATAGATGATGCCCCATTTAACGAGTTTATTTGAAATATATCTCCTCTTTGTACCCGATCATAGTTCCATCGACCAATAGATTCTGGTCTATCTCGTTTTGCTGGTCACTTGTGCATCAGTGTAGCATTGTT